CTGGGGGAGCCTAATTCCCCTGCTCCGGGCAGGCAGCCAGGGATGGGGCAGGACGGACGGAGAGCTCAGAGCCGTGCCTGCCCCAGCCCCTTCCCCTTCCCCTTCCCCGCGGGGGCTCTACCTCTCCCTGTCCAGCTCCTCCAGCAGCCGGATGGTGGCCCGGCTCAGGTCCCCCATGCTGTCCTTCTTCTGGAGCGGTGCGGCGTGCAGGGGGCTGCCCTCGGGGCTGTGGCCCGGGCAGGCTGGCTCGGGCGCCAGGGCGGGCGGCTGGAACTTCAGGTTGTAGAGGCTGGTGATGTCCATCTGCAGCGCTGCGCGGGGCGGAGCGGGCACACGTGAGCCAGGCTGTTGCACTCAAGCCCAGGCATCCTAGTTGCTTTCACCCGCCGGACCCCACGCCGAACCCAGGGGTCCTGACTCCCGGGGTCTGCTCCCAGCCCCGGGGCAAAGGGGTACAACAAACCAGCCCCCTCGCCCACCTTTCAGCTGCTCCAGCACGTCCGTCTGTCCGGAGGACACCATGACACGGGCCTCCTGCTCCAGCTTGCCCTGCAGGTGCTTCAGGACTTCCTAGATGTGGAGACGGCGCGGGGTGAGGGCCAGGCTGGCACCAGCTGCAGGGGCCAGGCTTGCACCCCCTCCAGGTGGGGGCTTCTCCACTGCCCTCATGGGGGGTCCCTTGTCTGCAAGCTGCTGGGTGGCCCCGACCCCCCGCACACCCCGGCAGCGGTGCAGGAGCCCCCTCCGGCCCCACCTTCATGTCCGAGGTCTCATTTTCCAGCTTGGAGAGGTGGTTGGAGTTGTCCTCCAGCTCCCGGCGCAGATGCGTGTTCTCCTTCTTCAGCGCCTCCACCTGCCGCACCAGCTGGTCGTACGATGCGATGGAGCCAGACATCTTCAGCTCGTCCAGGGCCTGTGGAGACAGGGGATGGGGATGGAGATGGGGATGGGATGGGTGCGGGCAGCACACCCGCCGCGACGCCCCTTCCCCGGAGAACTGGGCCAGCCATGGCCGGGCTCAGGCCTCGCTGCTCCAGCTCCAGCTCCAGCAGTCTCCCCAGGCACAAGGCACCGAACAGCTGCAGGATCCTGGCACCGGGGGCCACATAAGGGCCACAGCAAGGCAGCCTCACCGCGTCGGGTGCTGCATGAACCCGTGCGGCAAGACCACCCCTGCTGCATGCCAGGGGACAGAGAGGGGAAACTGAGGCACAGGGGACGGGACTTGCCCAAGGTCCCCGAGGACAGAGAATGAGGATGGGAAGCACAAGCCCTAGCCCGTGTCCTGGGCATCAGGCTGCACTGCTGCTCCTCGCAGCACCGGTCAGCTGCAGCCACCTCTCCATCCCCGACCCGGCTCCCAGAGACGGACTCGACCCCCTGGCTCTAGCCACTTCCGCCCACAGCCGTCTCCTCCGTCTGGCCAGAAGACCCCCGGTGTCCCCAGACCCCAGACACCCAGCACCCGTGCCGGGACCCCCACCTGTGTCTCAGCTTTCAGGCCCCCCCCAGCGGTGCGTGGTGGCCCTGGAAGCAAAAGGCCCCTTGCC